TGTAAGGCATACGGTCAGACCCATTTGCTTCATGTTCAAGAAGAATGGACACTTACTTGAGCGCTCAGGGGCGTGAAGAAGGGACCGTGGGCTCCTATCAGTGCCCAGTCACCGGAAATATTCAAGAATCCAAGCCCTTCAAATGGTTTTGCTCCCCCGAAGAGATTTGTGATTAAGGGATTTGGAGGAAGGGTGAGGCAAAAGAAACTGATTGCTTGAAATGCTGGAGCTATGTAAGTCGGAAATATCTCGTCTAGAAAATAATACACGAGCTTAACAAGTATAATTCTGATGAACAGTGAAGTAGATAAAATCACTCGAAGTACTACTTACAAAATCCCATACTAAAGAAAGCCTTTTTGAAAAATGAAAGCTGATCCTTTGTATGTTGCCCTTTACCATGAAGTGAGTGAAGCAGAGCAACAGATGGAAGTACATCTCTGTTAAAAGAATATGGCGCGATAAGGATTCGTCCTATGAATTTTCTATAATGTAGATAGAAAAGAGAGTCACTTACGGATAAACAACTTGAGCAGGATAAACAAGGATAGGCTGTAGTAATCTGCACAAATGAAGTATTGCGTATTTAGAATCACATCCAATTGCTTGAATCACGACTTGAAGATTCTCACCCTGCCCAGCCATATCCTATCATCTGCGAACTCAGAAGAACCAGGAGAGACACCCCCAGACTTGCGACTTGATCAAAGTAGAGATCTTTGGCTGCCAACATCTAAATTATTGACCATAGATATTTGTGAAAAAGCAATCATTGATCTGAGTTGTTCTGTCTTGAAAGACGTATGACGAATCTCGGCACGGTCTGTGACTCACCTCGATAGCGAAGGCACCGACACTAGCTGAAGTAGACATGATGGACGCGAAGGTCGTTTCTTTCTGTTTGTACGAGGAGCAAATAAGCTCTCCAAGTCTCGCGAATGGCAAGTTAAAAACTTACAATGCTGAAAGGACCTGGGTTCCACCATTTTGGCCCGGGTAATAGGGCCAATCCCCTACCCAAAAGCATGGAGGTAATTTGGAGGAATAAAGGTTGCAAACGAAGGTGAACTGGCTTGAACATGAATAACTATTCGACCTCATGGTTAGATCACGACCTTCCAGCTGTATATATTATTGTGGGAAATCTAGATGCTTACTTGTGTGACCGCGGCACCCAAAATGCCTTCCAAGATTCCTACCAAGATAGACCTTAACGTCATGACAGGTAGGCTTGGATCATCATCTAGAGAGAACATAGTTGTCTCGCTTGTAATGTGCTCTGTGGTTTCGTCCGACTTTTCACCGGTGGGTTGCGAGGTTGATGCAAGGTTTTTCGTATCATCTTGGCCAGCAAGTGAGTATTTTTCCTGAAAGTGATCCTGGTGGAGAGTATATGGTTTTTCACCTAGGCTTTGCATAGATCGGGATCTTGAGGGCGCAAGAGTTGCGTTAAGAAATGAAGAGGAGTCGTCGTCCCTGAGCGGCTCGTCTATATCAATTTGCGGAGAGAAAGAGTCTTGAATTCTATCGGATGTTTCACTCTCATCTGGCACTCTCGATTGCCCTCGTAGTTCGTCGAGAGGCGGTATTTGAGTCCTTCTCAGAGAGATGACCATTGTATATTAAATTCTCTTTGGAAGCGGGGATGTCGAACGTCCTGAAATACCTATGGGGCAAGGTTTAGTGTATAGCCCAAGAAAGAATTTGATGAGGGGATATCGCGGACCAAACGGCGAAAGGGATATAGATGAATGGAGTTGGACTGAGAATGGCGATGAATAATCCGTCGAAGGGACTTGCTGTAGTTGGGTTAAACGGGTCACAATACCGAGATAAACGATAACGATGATGTGTTACCTGAGTAATAAGCAAGCTTCACATTGAATTCTATAGACTCTAATGATCTATGTATGGGTCTGCTTCAACTTTGCGTGTCGGTATGGGTGAATAGGGTAAGATAGCCCTTCGTGCAGCCAGGCGGACCTCTGAGGTATCAGATATCGCCACAAGATCAACCAGGCAGATACTATGACTGGGGTTCACATTCAACCCTTGTATGACCAGGTCAGATTGGCTGGGATTGATGGTCGTACTTAATGGTCGATATTAAATGGATGGTTAAACTCTCCTCGTCACAATTGAGCTTCTGATATTTTTGAGTGAGCGGTCGGGGAGTCAACCGCTATGTGGATCTGATTTTTCGTTTTCACAATCTTCAAGTAAAGATGACTTTTGCCCAGTTGTCCAAGTGCGATCTTGTTCAAGCCAAAAATTTGGCTCAATTTTCGGAGCATCGATTATGGACTTCAGTTAATATACACTCTATGAAAACGATTTTTCGTGCGCCATTCAGCAGAATCTCTCGTCGATCTGGCTCAGAAACCTGCGTCAGGCTGCGTTCGACGCAGCTCCGTATGAGTACATAGCACCCGCCGATGAGACTCTTTTGTCTTGACTGCCCAGGCCATTTGGGACGGTCAGGATACAGCTCGTCCGCTACTCTAATGAAAATCAAGATGCTGCTGAAAATGTTTCACTTGACCGGGTCATCGTCAAAAATTCATCAAACTGTCTGAGCGCATGACGGCCACAAGACACACGATTTAATCCGCCCCTTCAAGATCAGCTGGATACATCGAAAGGATTTCCAGGCTTCGATGTGAAGGATGCACACGACAAAATTCAAGGTCCTGCTGATGTATATGTAATCCCATCCATATCGTCGACACGTCGCAGGGGAAGGACTGTGCGAGATGCAAGAAATCGCCTTTGGATACGTAAGCTTATATGCAGTGCTTGATAGCCGAAAGGCTCAATAAGTACTTTGAGAATCAAGGGATGTAAACCTATTCCAGTGCCTCTCGTGAGCTCGTCAGGTTGAGTTCGCGAGGAAAATTTGGGCGAGTTTGTCTCGAAGAGGTTTGCGTGTTGATTGCCATGCAGCAGAGTGCAGCACGTAGACACGCCTCTGCTCACACACCCGACGCACATAAACAAAGCGTTGATAGTTCAGGGCAAAACACCGAGACCAGGGCTGGTACCGGTCTCTGCCTCTGTTATCCGGGCACAAGGTGTCCGCTATAAAGGGCACTGGATTCCAGAGGTTTGACTGGACGGGGTTTTGAGTGGCAAGCTTTCCCTGAAGTTTCCACCGCTCATCTCTTGGAATCAAGGCTCAAGCTCATTCAGCACGACTGTTTCGGATGTCTGGCTTTTCTCGTCGCCCACTGGACAGGTCAGTGCTTCGTAGTCTTCCACCTGGACCGATTCCGTGTTCTGACAATTTCCAAAGCAATCGCCATCCGCTTCTTCGACTTGCCCTCTCTCAAATACGACGGAGACCGGTCATCTTCTTTGGTGTACCCTTCGTTGGCAAGTGCATATCCTCCAGTGGCTTCATAAAACGATTTATCGCCTGTGTTCTAACTCATTTTCTGCTATAGGAACCCTCTTGACTGGATCATTTCTGTTGTCTAAGTTGACCCAAACGCGGTACGACTATAACGCTACTCGTGTCCACACTCTTGCCGAAGAGGAACGACTCCAGCTTGATCATAACCGCAAGCGAGTTGACCTACGTGAAGAGTATTTTCGTTTGAGTCAACCGGGCGATGTAGGAGACTCGTTTGTCTCCGCACGTCCTGGCGGTACTCAGCAAGCTCCTGAGGTAAACACCAAAAAGAATCGGCAGAGAAATTGGGAATGGGACGGTGAACAAGTCCGGGTACCTCGCCCACCTGGGATGCCCGAGTGGGGAGCTGTCGATCCACGCGAAAGGAGCCCCGATGCCGGCACGCGGCTGGTGTGATGATTGGAGGTTTGCTATGTCTCCATTTTTCAGCGTAATTGAAATGTCATTGCGCGTTCGAGACGCTTAAATATCTTGGGGGTTTGTGAAACAGGAAATCAAGTCGCGACTCAGGAGGGGAAAAACGAAATTGCTACGCCTGCGCCGGCTCATAATCCACATCGCTGTGAATCCAGCCAGGTCTGACCACGGTTCGACGCTTCATATTAGGTAGATTTTTCCCCAGCCGCTATCCTTCCGTGTATTTCCATGTCTGCAGCTGAATCGGTCTGTCCACTGTGATGATAGCCTCCACTTCACACCGCACAATCTCTCTTGTAGTTGCCAAGATCGAAATCATGCAGGCTATGTCAAAAATAAATGCGTTGTTGTGTGCTCTGAGATTGACGAAGGCCACAGACTCTGACATATCAACATAGACAACACGTCCTGTCCCCAGCTGTTCTCCCAACTTGTAATTTGGATGATACACGGCCGTTGTCTCAGCCTCTGATATAGACTGTTTTATATCATTAATTGGCCATCAAAAATGACTGACTGGCACACTGTACCGGAACAACCTTCTTTACTTCACATCTTGTTTGCTTGCGTGCCCCCAAGGTACAAGTGAGATTGCAAGGACACTATTTGAGTCACACAGCCTTTGTCTTATTGATGGGGGTTTTAACAATAAAGTGGCCCAACTACTAGATCACTATATCATCCCTGGCAGATTTCTGGTTAGCCACTTTTTTCCATACCGTCAACTTCATCCTTGATCTTTCTGTATAAAACTTGATATGCCGCTATTGTCATGCACTATGTCATTGAAACAGGTCATCATTCAGAATTTTTCATTGGGTTTGGAAAGGTCCGGAAGCATTGTACAGTAGAAACCATCACAAGTATATAGGATGTTCAACATCTGTCAATGAAGCTTTTTTACCTTCTCAAAGCACTCAATAATTTAGTGAAGATAGAAACAAATATATGCAACATCTTTGAAATCTTTGATCAAGCTGGTTTTGACCGAGTCATCAAGGATATCAAACACTCTGTTAAGCTCTCCATCCAATCAAATGTAAACAACCCACCAGAATGATTAGCACACAACATGATAGCTCTTCTTTCCCTTTACTTCTTTTATCCCACCATCCTCGTTGAGTCAATACAATTGTTGATAAGGTACCATGAAGCTGATCAACTATCATAGGCGCTGTTGGTGTAGCGGTTAGCATTGAAGCCTTCCACCCAGAACAGCTTTAGTCCGGGGTTCGAATCCCCGACAGCGCATTGCTTTTTGGCGCTCATCTCAGGCAAGGATGCCCAGATACATCTAACAAGAATTCCGGCTAGGTTAGACATCAGAGAGGTGGAGTCTTGATCCATGTGCAAATGTTTCAATATTTTACGTGGGTGGGATTTTTTTAGCCTAAGATTCAAAAGTTATTTGAGCAGGGGATAAGATATGAGTCGTTTCTGCTTGAAAATTGGTGATCAGCTATGTATAGAGACCCGATACCCAGTGTGCTTTGGTATCTGAAATCTTGATGTGGAGCTTTGCCCCATAGCATAGAGTAAGGAGGAGTATGTGCGCGGAGGGGCATTTAGCCATTTGAGTTGGTTCCTTGGTGACGCACAGGACTGAAAGCCTGAGTTGAAGGAAGTGTGTCTATTTTTGAGTACCGCTTTGTTGGAGCAGCGAATATAACCAAGACATTTGATTTATGCAAGGAATTGAATATAGATGTATCTATCCACATAACGATCCCAGCTGATCCCAATGGCAATGACACGTGAGGGTCGAAGAAGATCAGTTCGCTGAGATTGAAAAAGAATGTGTATCTTCTTTTCAGAGAAGCAACAAACAAAATACTGGGTTGACGCTTTCAGCTTTTTAAGGTCTTGTGGCTACTGGCCGTGTCGTCGGTAGCGGCGACTTGACATCTCAAAGTTTTGCTATAGGAGACAAATGCCAAGTTGGGTGCGCAAGTGAGCTGTACCTTTGCAATGAGCACACGAGAGTTCGCTTCGGTCATCAAGTCTACCGACGATTCAGGCCATTGAAAATGCTGCTAGGGAATTCTTGAAATGGATCTACTGGATTTGAGTGAACCAATCCTTCGATAGACACATTAAAGAAGATCAATCAAAATCTATGCTGAGTAACTTTAAAGCCGAATATTTTTCAAACACATCTTTACACCTTTTGGAATCTTAGTGGACTAGTCAGGACTGGTACTTCAAAGCTTATTTTATCTGGAAATCCATTCACCATCAATCTAGAGCTCCCCGCAACAAATTGACAGCCTTTCATCTCAAAAAACATGTACTACCAATCCACCAGTTTGATTTTTTTAATCACACTTGCTTCCTCTGTCTTCCAATTCTCTCATGCTCTTCCCCATGAACTGGAAAGACAAGTTCGAAGAAGTCTGAAGGAGACATTACTGTTCCGTCGAAAAGAAGAATCAGGTGTTGATCTAAAAGAAAAAGGAACAGATGAAACTCCGATTCAAAAACAAATCAACGCGATGTTTCGTGATGTAGTGAAGATTGGATTTATAATGGATCAAAGTATTGCTAACTTTGCTACTAATTCATCCGAAATCAAAAAAGGAATTGATATAGTGAAAGGATTAATACCAAACGTCTTGAAAACACAAGATGAACTTTATAAATCCATCAAGCTTTCGGATGTTAATCAGGACAAGGAAATCAAGAAGGCAATGTATGAAGCCAAACCATCTGGTGAAGCTCTGATGTTGGTAACTCTATCATTTGTTGAAACCATCAAGCATCATCAGAAGTAACTGAGATTCACTTATTCCTTTACAGTAAAGCTTTGGATACGATTGCAGCAAGTCCAGAAGATGCCAAGTAAGTAGGAAAGCAATTATTTTTCTTTAAGAGGACTTTGACCTGTGACGGGCGCTTTAAAGTCAAGCGAGCCCATCAACTGATTTCATTCTGGTATTTGATCAATACTGAATCTTTTGTCTATAACAGTCTGATCAAAGCAAATTACAAAGCTATGGGAGAAGCCATTGGGAAAATCATTGATGGTATGGGCTGATTTTTTGTTTCTTTCACCTCCCATAAATCTGATGGCTGATTTTGTGGTCTTCGATGTTTGTTTATCCAGTCAGTGAAAAATTAGCTGAGGCTGCTGACCCTGCCCCTGCCCCTAAGTTGGATGGAGACAGAATTGTACCTCAATTGAAGAATCATGATAGCAATGATGCTGAAAAGGAAATGAATTCTGGGGAGAAACCTTCTGAGAAAAAAGACCAAAGTCCCAGAGGAGAAGTAATTGAAGTGGGAAAATCTTCTGAAGATCAATTACCTCAGGCCGCTGATATCCCATCCCTACCAACTGCAACTGAACCTGACCCAGTTCCAATTTCTGGAGAAAAATCAACTCAATTGGCAAAAAGTGATGATCACCATTCGGTTGCCTCTGCTGAGAAACTTGCTCAACCTTTAGCCGTATCAGCTACATCATCTAAAGATGAAGTGGGTGCGGCGGTGGATAAAGTGAGTCAAGTATAGTATTGGAAAGATTCTTTTGGTACATACACATCAAACCTGTAATTTTTTGCTTAGGACTAAGTACTTCCCTGGTCATGAAGAGTTATAACATCATCATCATAAGGACACATTCCTCTCGTTGTCTTTAATAGGATTTGTTTAAACTCATTGCAGGGTAAATTATTAAGCACACAACTCTTATAAATGTAGAACATATTGTGAAATTTAATTATGTCTTTGGTACAAGGTGAAGATCTGGTATAAAACTTTGAATCCCTGCTCAGAGATCTTGGGAGAGATGAAGTTGATCCATAGTTGAAGCTATCCATCTGACGCGAAGTTTTGTTTGAAGAGGAGCCTTATTGACCATTGCACCTATCGCTCTGTAAAAGATCACGTTGAACGCCGCGCAAAACTGTCTATGTGTACTTACATGGGTACCCAGAACAAGGCAATTTTGTCAGCTTGAAAGACTGAAAAGGGTATTTTGTTTTCAATGACTTGAATTGGAGGAAGCAGCAGGTTCAAAGGTCTTGTGTACATAAAACATTCCCTCAGATTAATTTTGTTTATCCGATTGCCAGTGAGATGTGGGGTGTGAAATTGATGATCAAAAGTTGAATGATGTAGAGTTTCAAATTTAAGCTGAGTATCATGTAAACTTCTGCTCTACCCATCTCATCTCGATCATCTTCAACCACTTCCACAATCGAACTCAAACTCAACTCATGGATAACCACCGATCATCAACCATTCCCACTGTTCTATGTCAGTCTTGACTTTCTTTCTTCATTCGATTCGATCTCTTCATCCTCACTAACTCACACCTCTTTCCTTGATGTTCTATAGTGACTAATGATGATGGACCTTGTTCAAGTTCTGAATCTCCTTTCATCCATTCATTCTCTCGTCATCTTCGATCTACCTTTCTAGGTTCATCACCAGAAAAATTAAAAGTAGTCTTACCAGATTCACAAAAATCATGGATAGGTAAAGCCTATATCATCAAAGATACCATTTCACTCAATTATTTTGATCCAGAATCATCAACGAAATCAAAAAGACCCATTAAAAATTTAAAGTCTCAAGATCAATGGATCTTATTAAGTGGTACACCTGCAAGTTGTTCCAATATCGCTTTATTTAATTTATTTCCAAATAAAATCGATTTAGTCATCTCAGGTCCGAATTATGGTCGAAACACAAGTAGTGCATTCAGTCTTTCTTCTGGTACGATTGGTGCTTCTTTAGATGCTGCTTTATCAAATCATAAAACGATTGCTTTATCCTATGGAATCTTTGAAAGACCTGTTTCAAATGAAATCATAGAAGCAGCTCATCAGATCGCCGTGAAGATTATTAAACAACTTTGGATTTCTGGATTCGTTCAACCTGATCAAGAAACTGATCATGTACACCTCTACAGTGTTAACATCCCGGTAATCTTGAAACTTATTCAACCTATGATCGTAATACGTGGGGGTGATTGAAAAGCAAGAACTGATCTTGTGATCTCTTGATCGAATCTTTTAAGCTTGTACCAGCTATCTTAACCGATCCACAGGTGACTTGGACCACTGAAGCTCACACTCGTTACGGTCGACTCTTTTTACCTTCTTCAACTGCACAACCCACCAAACCTGTAGAAATTGACGAAGCTTCTGCCTCTTCAGTAACCCCATCCTCTCCTGAGACACCTACTACAGTCTCTTCTGATCATCCTACCGATTTTGTCTTCAAACCCGATATCAGTGCACTTGTGGACCCTAATGCGACTCATCATCCAATTCGAAGTGATGCTTGGGCTCTCAATAAAGGATTATGTACTGTGACACCTTTACGTGCGGCTTTTGCGGCTGCTCGTCAACCTACAACTATTGAGGAAGTTGATAAGGATGGTGTAAAGGTTTGGAAACTTTGATGATGGATGATAAGATGGATTAAATTAATTTTTCGAAAAAAAAAAAAGCTTTAGGATTTATAGAATTCGATCTTGATGTTGATGTTGATGTACTAGACTGTTTTTTGTTTGAATGTGTAGAATGATTTGCATTTAACTTACGTAACTTCTTACAATTAGTGATGATTTCATATCTTTTTTTTTCTCTTTGGTTTTCAGTTTAGCAATCTAAATTGTGAAAAAATTGAAATTGAAAAAAAAGCTGTTTTAAACACCAGATTTAAACTCTTTTTGAACAGATTGAGCAACTTGATGGATTCGAGGTGGGGATATTATTATGGGAGCTGAATTGAAAAATCAGCCAGACACTATTTTTATTTTACACTCGGGTGACTCAGTATATCTAAACGGCAAAAATCAGGGCCAAGACTTTAATTGGTTTGAGTTGAGGTCCTTGGAATGCAATAGGTGCATCTTCCTTCTACGACTCTTGGGTTTATAAAAAAAAGAGGTTTTAGAAGTTGGGGAAAGATTTGTTCTGACTGCTTTGTTGTTTCTTCCATCTCACTAGAATTTTCTCTAACTTTGAATTTATTATGAGATCTTGAAGGGAAAAATAAAGAAAAGATGAACTTTGAAGGTTCAATTCTTAAAAAAAAGTGAAACTAGATAAACTGGTAATGATAGATACATATGATTTGAAACTGATCAGATTCCTATAAAGATTTATGATATTTTCTTATTAATTCATCCATTGATCAATTCATTCAACCCATTAGTAGAAATATATCTTCTTCTAATTTCCTTCTTAACACCTTATGGACAATTTTAATGATTTACTAATTGTAACTTTTGACTTTAG